GGGGGGGGGGGGGGGAGAGAGAGGAGGGGACACAAAGTTCAGTTTGTCTCAAAACCCTAATATTTTGTTCACTTTCTCTGTCTCATGCATGTCCAATTTCTCCATGCAAGCATGATTCATGAGGCATTTTATGTCCATGAAGTGAATGCATATTACTTAGGAGTTAGGACAAATTTTTAGGTTAAAATTTAATAATCCTCTTACGTGTTTTATATTATTTTGGTACCTATTTTTTTAATTCTTTTCACTTTAGTCTGTCAAACTTTTATTTTAAATTTTTTTGGTCTAATCGAAATAAAAGTTTAAAGTGAATAACGAATATGATAACCCACGTCTCACATGACTGCACTTTGAGTGGTACATTTGATCCTTCAAGTTTTTATTTGCGTCCATATTAGTTATTTTAATTTTACCACTTTATTCCCTTAAATTTTCAAAGAATGCCTTTAAATGTGCTAAAATGAGACGCAAGTATTATCCATTTTAAGCCTCAATTATATTTTCGACCAGAGTGACACAAAAATCAAATTTAAATGACTAAATTGGAAAAAAAAATATTTAAAAAGGATCTAGGTGACACAAAACACATTATTTAGGGACAAAAAATGTTATTAACCCATATGTGTGTGTGTGTGTGTGACTGATGAGAATGTATCTAATATGTAAGCAGGCAATTTGGACCTTGTCTGGAGAAAGTTTATGTGCATAGGACAGGAGATAATAGACCACCACAGTTTGGCAGAATTGTCCTGAAGAGATCTTTCTCACCAGCCCTAATCCTTCATGGACAAGAGGAGGTTAGGTTTCTCATCCTTGGGAGATCATTGTGGTGCAAGAGGTTCAGACCCAAGAAGACCGATGATGGCTGTGCCAACTTATAAAACTTCTTGTAGTAGATCTCATGCATGCTTTACTAGCCTTTTACTTTCAAATGAGATCTTTTATATTATGATTCCAAAGACATCGTTTTACAATGTTTGTTTTTCAATAAGGTTTCTAATGTTGGTAAGAGGAGGAGGACATTGCTGTAGATTGTTTGTTTATTAAGAACACAATATGCTTTTTTTTTTTTTTTTTTTTTTTTTTTGGGTTTGAATTTTTTTTTTTTTTTTT